AAAGGTAAATGTCAAAGCGGACAGTGAACCACTGTGTCTGTATTGTAGCCATCAGCAGTGTAAGGAAAAACCCAGTGTAACGTCAACCTTTGACGAAACACAGCATCCCTCCGGTTTTAGTTTCAAACTTCATTTCTTCATCCTCTTCAGGAGAAATAAGCAGAAGATCCCTCTGATGTAGTAAAGATCTATCATACTGCTCCACCACAGCTCCAGTAGCCTTACTTTATATTCACTACATACTGTAGCCTACCCTGACTTTCAGGCATTAAACCTGGTTCCTCTTTGTTTGTTTTGACCCCGTTCACATGGCTCCTACTCTTGGTCCTACAAATACTAATAACTTTGTCTTTGATTTGTTTTCGTGTATGTTCAACTCCTTTCCAGACTTCCTCATAAATTCCTAACTTTTTATCATTGTCTGTAGGTTCAGTTGTCTTCAGCCTTCTTGTCATTCGTCATCTTCTCTGCTAAGACATTAAAAAAGAGACCTATAATAACTGAGCTAACTTAAAGCCTGTCAAGGTTAAACAACCTTTGTATAAACATGGACTGATATTTACATAAGCTATTTGCTAATGCTCTTTTCTCAATGCTAAAGAATACATAGTTTACAAATAAAGAACAAGTTGTTTTTTTTTATTTATTTTAAAGTGTAGTTACCTTGAGCAAATTAAATATTATATAAGGGGACTAGCTCAAATGGCAGACCGCTAGCTTAGCATGCGAGAGGTAGCGGGATGAATACCCGCGTCCTCCATGTCAACAAATCTTTGTCAGTTCCGTAGTGAGGCGGTTAGCTGTTAGCACAAGAATTTCCCAAACATGGGATCAATACTCATTTGTTATTATTAATGTTATGTGAATTACATGGACCCAAACAAATCCACATAAACAACTTGGCACATTTTCCTCTGTAACACATTTATGACTATTTTCTTTCTCCCAACTCTCACTAAAAACTAATGTGTTCAGCTTATTGTTCTTTCAGAAAAAAAAACAAATCCCTTGCAGCGAGGCTCCAACATCAAACTCTGTTACACTTCTCATCTCTCTGTCTGCAGAACATCTCCCAAAGTCAATTCCTTTTTAGTCAGTAAAATAAAATAGTATTTTGTGGTCTGAATTTCTATTCGTTTGCCGACTCAACATACGCTCGTTTAATTTCATTTATTCCGTTTTACGGCCATATTCACAATTTGGAACTAGCACATTTACATCATGCACTGTTTACCGCAGCTGTCCTGACTTAAAATACTCCTTTTTACAGCTGTTTTTTAACCTAAATTTACAATACATTTATATTTATTTTAAAATAAAAAACAATCATAAACGGAAGACTATCTATGGATATTTTGTTTACAACATTTTATTGTATATTTTACAAATTTCCAAAAGGATAAATAAAATATTTAGGTCGTTGAAGTCATCATGTTTCAAGCAGAGTCAAGACTAAAGACTGATCTCAACCTCATCAAGTCCTCATCTCTGCTGTACCTCATGTCATTTGGCTAAATGCTGTGCTTTTGTGCTGCTGTGACTTTAAATTTGATTTCATTGTTTTATTCGCGCGGTCGTATTGTATGTCAAAAATCTAAAAGCAGACATTTTGTCTGTATTTAACACTGACATCTCTGTATTGAAACCCTGTACTTGTGTCTTCCTGGCCCTGTTTGTCCTTCATCACTGTTTCTCATCAGCGCTCATCTTCCCATCCCCCTCTCTACTCTCTATCTTCTCCTCCTTCTCGTGCTCCACTTCCACCTTACCGACCCTGTCTTCACTCCCTCCATCTGATGACTTGTGTTTTGTCACTCATTTGTCCATTTTCTCTGGTACAAAATATCACATTTTCCTTCCATTCCATCCATTCCCCCTCCCCTTCTTTTTTGTCTTGTCTCACCATTATCCCCGTTCTTGTCCTGTCTGCTGCTCAGGTCACTTCACCTATGGATAAACGTTCACGCTAGAAACCCCAGAGGGATTCCAAGGGCGCTCTGATACGACTGACGTGTCCCCCGTAGAGATCAGCAGATCGACGCTGATATCGATGCTGCTGAGCTACTTTTGGCTTTAGAGCAGCAGGGCTGAAGAGGTCAGCGGTGAAAGGTCGGAGACTCGAAAGCAGGAGGAGGAACTGCACGGCCGTCAGAAGAATAGGAGCTTCAGGACATGAGATCTTGGTGACCGACCGGGGTCAAAGAGGTCAAAGATGATGACATCACACGTTAAGCTGAGAAAGGAGAAAGGGAGTCTGGCCGAATATGAATCACAGATGAAAGGTGAGTCGTTCCTTCTATTTCTGAGCCTCTATAACATCTCGACTGCTGCATGTTTATTTATTTATACCACTGCTGTTACGTTGCTGTGGCCTGACTGCTTCCTTTCATCGCAAATCCATCGTTCTACGTCTGTTTATTTTTTGAAAACAAATCTTATTTCCCAATGTTGTAAACGTTCCGACTGTATGTGCGTGCGTGTATGCGTGTGCGCGTCTGTCTGCACGTGACATGAGCATGTTCATGTCTCTGTACTGTACTACAAGGGTGTATTTATAGTGCGTAGTAGCGATGCTTGTCTCCTCACATCCAATCAGCTCTGAGGCTCTGAGCGCGGAGAGAAAAGAGCCACAGTCTGGTTCGGAAGAGAGACTGGATACGTGGGAGAGCGTGGGGAGAAACAGAAAGATTTAGAGAATCAGAGCTCAGAGAAAAATCTTACAAGTGGATTAGAAAGTGAAACAAAAATGATGTAATGAGAGGAAACGGTGTGTGTACATGTGTCTCTAAACAGCGGTAAAGGGTTTTGGTGTGTGTTTTTGTCCAGTGTTGTACGTAAACGTAGAATATGTTAAATTATAGTTAAAGAGGTCTAAACAATCTAACAGTTTATGTTCCCCCTGGTGTCAGTGGTCTCAGTTGCTAGATTTAGGTCTATTTGGCAAAACCAAGATTCTGCTTCTTGTTGATTAAGAATGACATGAAAGGAAATATTTCATGTACATAGAGAGAATACTGCATGTGGACGACACCTGCACCAAGTAAAGGGTCCAATGTTTAACCCACGTGTTGTCCTTTGGGTGAAGGTGGCCCGATAGCTGATAATATGCATGTGTACACGCGTGCGTGTTCCTGTACTTCACGGCTTGTGGCAACTTTTCCTCCGTACTCCGATTCTGGGACAAGATGCAAACCTGTTGCGAGGACGCTGGTTGTGTAAAAAATGTGAAGGACGGTATAACAACTTGGCCAATGTTTTTAGTTTTTGTTTTTAATTCCCTCTTTTTGTGCCACAGAAATATTACTGTAAGTAAGTATTTTAAATCATAAACATAGAATAAACATAGATATTTTAATTCCCTTTTTTTGTGCCACATAAATATTACTGTAAGTAAGTATTTTAAAAGTATTTCAGCTGGTGTACTCCTGGTTGATTAAACCTTGTGCCAAAAGCACTCGGCAGTTTGACTGATCAGACGCTAATACATTTATGATTAAATGTCGATTAATTATCAGTGTCAATTTCCCGATGTCCAGTGTCTGTTAACAAGGCAAAACATTGGCCGATACCGATGTTCATCCGAAAAATCTGTTCTAAGCAACACAGTGGCCTGCAGCTGTGCCTCCGACTTGCGTTTAATTTGAGTTTATGGTCTGGGTTCCTCTAAGTCAGGGCTTGTCAAACTCATTTTGCTTCACGGGCGTACAACCTATTTAGATGTCAAGTGGGTCGGACCAGTGCAATCATAAACCAATTAGCTGTAAATACCAAAAAAATCATCAGATATTTATTATTATTATTTATATTTAATGAAAATATAATTTTGCAAAAAATATCCTGAACATTAAGTGTTTTTATTCATCAAAATTCATCATGCCGGTCGGATCGAACACGCTACTGGACCGTTTTTTGCCCGCGGGCCTTATGTTTGACGCTCCTGCTCTAAATGCTATCGTCATTGACATCAAGAGCTGAAGTAGTCTGAGGCCATGATCAGTGTGAGAAACTCCTCACCCGTGTTTAAAGGGGAGTTAATAGGAGAGACATAGCATTTCAGTGACTCTAAATGTGTGTGTGTTTGTTCTGCTTCATGTCTCAGACCTGAGGACTCAGCTCACAGATCAAATCAAGATTTTAGACTCCCAGGTGGAAGTGAAACAGCAGCAGCTCTCAGACCTCTCTGAGTTTCTCCGACGCAGAGGCGACATCGAAGCAGAATACGCTCGAGCCCTTGACAAACTCACCGAAAGGTTCACGCACAAAACCAAGAAGTACGTCTTTGGGGTTCTTTCCTCTTTCAATGACGATTGCAACGCAGCTCTAACGGCTCCATGTGTGTGTGTGTGTGTGTGTGTTTGTTTTCCAGGAAGGAGCAGTGGTACAAGTCGGTGTGTCAGGTGTGGTCTGTTCTTCTCACTCAGACTCGTCTGGAGAGTCGAGAACATGCAGCGCTGGGCGACACCTGCTGCAACACACTCACGCAGAGACTGACCCACAGTATGGAGGACACGCATCGACTGCACAAGAGAGTGAGTGGCAGGCAGTGAGAGTGTCGAGAAACAGGAAGAAACAGAGCGTCCGCCAGGATTGGATTCAGTTCCACAAACACAGCTGCCTGTAAAACCACAAGATCTGATTTTGAATTTTCAACCCACAGCCATTATAGAGGGATGGTAAGATGCGCCATTGCGCAGTAGCAACACCCGATTAAAAAAGCACAACAAGATGCAGTTCTAGACAAATATGGATTACATTCAGCAGTGGAGCAGAACTGCTAGCTGTCCTATAGAAACAGCAGTGAGACGAAGAGTGTCCCGCATAGTGGTTCCATCCTGTAGCGGTTAGCATGCCTGCCTTACAAACAGAGAATCCTGGGGGACCATATATCCCTAATGGCGCATCCTGTGTGGTAGCCTGTGAGTTGTAACCACTAAATGGCTCCTGCGTCGGTTGCAAAGACTCACACCGTAAATGTCCACGTTGGACAAATAAGGGACTCAATTATTTTCATAATTATTATTATTATTAAAGCTAAAAGTGTGGTCTGAATTTCTCAAAGCAAAAACACATAAATGATGAAAGTGGTTGACTCATACAGATAAGACCACTGAATTTGTTTCACTTCTTCCACGGCAGAGCAAAGAAGTTGGAGTCCAGATGCAAGACGAGCTGATAAAGGTCACAACTGAACTCCAGACCGTGAGCATTTTATGTTTTCTATCCAGCATTAAAACACTGTTTAGAACAGAAATAAACAGTTTGATAATATGGCGTTTGTGTTGCTAAAGGCTCTAAAGACCTACAACCAGTACCACACCGACTGCCTGATAGCAGAGGGGAAACTGAAGGAAGCTGAGCGGTTGGAGGAGAGACACACCGGCAAGTCGTCTGAGCTCGGCCTGGGCCAGTCAAGTGGACAGAGGCGGAGCTCCGTCAAGAAGATGGAGAGATTAATGGAGAAGGTGAAGATAATGAGAGTAAAAAAAAAATAGTTGACAGGAAGTGTGTCACAGAAAAAAGCCACAATGGCCACTTCCTGTACGTGTTTGTTTGACACAAGAAGTGTAGGTGAAACACAAATGTATGACATTAAAATGTATGTGTTTCAGCACAAAATATATTTTTTTACATAATGCTAGATAATAATAATCTACTTATTACAGTTGCACCCAAAGGGAGAGATCATTCTTCTCGCCATACAATATGAGGATTCATATTATAATGATCTAATTAAAGTTGTTTTTTTTTTCATCTGTGTGTGTGGACAGAGACATGGCCGAGTGCAGGAGACCCAGCTCAAATGTACCAAGGCTCGTAACGACTACCTTCTGAACCTGGCAGCGGCCAACGCAGAGATGAACAAGTACTACCTGCAGGACGTCAGCACCCTCATCGATGTATGGAGAAAAAAAGAATTCTATTCTACTATGTGTCTGCACAAGTGTGTTCCATTTTCTTCTCCCATTTCTGTTCTCCCGGCAGTGCTGCGACCTTGGTTTCCATCTCTCGGTGGATCGTGTGATAAGGTGTTACCTGGCCAGCAGGTGGCGTATTCAGAAGGCGGAGGAGACGGGTCTTAAGCAGCTGGAGACGGCCATGACGTCCCTGGACCAGAGCGGAGACAGAGACGCTTTGCTGCAGCAACATGACGCGGCCTTCTGTCTTCCATTCAGATTCAACTACCATCCACACGAAGGAGACCAGGTGGAGTCACTGATCCAGGATCAGACATGAGTATCTCAAAGGATGGGACATCATTTTGACTGTTTTCAGTGATTTCAGCGATTTCCTAAACTGTGCAGACGTTATCAAGTTGGCTTAAAAATAGAAAAGCTTTAAAGTACAACATTTTAGTTTGACCCAAAAAATCTGAAGGTCAATCAAAATGAAGTAAAATTACCTAAAAGATACAGTAACTTCAAGTTTGTCTGGCAGTACACGGGAAAAAAATTGCAATTGCAAACATTGCAAATAAAATAAGTTAAAACTTAATGGAAACATAAGTTGCAACCAGGAACATGAATATATATATATATATATATCAAGCTGGTTATATGTTTATCCACAAACTGCAGCCTTCTTTACAACGCCTACAATAGGGCTAAAGCACCACCTGCTGTAAAATGAGTTACCCTCTGTAATTTACTGTAATTTCTGGCCTATTGAAGGCACCTGAATATATGCCGCACCCACTAAATTTAAAAAGAAACACATTTTTCCCGAAAAGTGCGTTAGCTCTTTCCTGCTTCGGCGCCCCGACCAGTTGGATTCCAGTTGAAATGCACAGGGGAGACTTAGTGATCTGCTGCAGAGCTAAAGCTAACGTTAGCTCCGGGGCTAACTCCCTTCACTTTGGTCTTGTCCTCAGCAGAGGTAAACAGAAACAGGGAAGTTGGGGTCTTTATTATCAGCCACTCCGACCACAACAGAACAGAAACTCACTTTGTGCTTATCCGCAGCAGAGGTAAACAGAAACAGAGAAGTTGAGGTCTTTATAATCAGCCACACCGACCACAACAGAACAAAGAGTTTTAACAGCTCCTGTATAACCAACTCACACTACAACATGACAGGACGACAACACGCACATATACACACACAACCATTCACAGACAGACGCTACTAGTATAACACAGATCGCTAGCGGTATGAACTTTGTTAGCCCGTAAAAATGATTAAATTAGCCTAGCGTCATTTTTTTAATTGATTTATTGTTTATTGTTCATTGATGTCATTGTTCGTGTGTTCCAGGTGTGTGAAGTGAGTGCAGAGAGCCAGGTGAGGTACGAGTTGGAGACCAGGTTTCAACAGCTTCAGTCTCGACTTGCTGCTGTGACCCTGGAAACCGAAGAGGTCAGCTCACCCCCTGTGTTTCAGTTGACCCTGAACCAGATTCTCTTTCAGACTCTGTAATATTAACATCTGTTTCACATGTTCTTCCTTAGATCAGTAAAACCCTCAAAGCCACACTTGCCTCCTTGCTGGACACCATGTGCAACGGTGACAGTAACTCCGCGCCCGATGTGACCAGCAGCCAATCACATGACACCATCGGAGGAGTTTCCGCCCCTAAACTTGCTATAGCCAAGCGTCGAGCCAATCAGCAGGAGACAGAGACTTACTACTTTACTGTGAGTTCATGGATTTGACTAACGTTCATCCATCACTGTCCAATCAATGGCCTGTCAGCAGGGGAGGAAATTAGCATATTTAAAGAGCCCAAACACCTTTATGAAATATCTTCTAGTGCATCTGTATAATTTTCCCCAAATTTGTAATTACTGCTTTGCTAAGGTTTAGCAATTTTTCTTGATGAAATTCTGCCCTGTCTTCTTAGCTAATTTAGGTATTGGTATTTTTTAAGCTAATATGTACACCTGGTTATGTTCTTGGATAACTCATAGCAAATACTACACCTTCTATCACACATTTGCCATAATTTTTTGCTTTACTTTTGTTTGTTTATTAGCTATTTCTTGACTTATGGTTTAGCATTAATATAAGCTGCAGCTTTCATGGAAATTGTATTGATTTACTGCCAGAAGCCTTTTTATCTTTTTTTTAAGATTTCCTTTCAATCCCACTGAGCATAAACTGTAATTAATAATCTTTGAATACAATCTTAAAACTGAATTCGTCCTTCAGCGTTTAAACACCTTTTTCTGTGTGCTTTATACGATCTTAAAACTGAATTCGTCCTTCGACGTTTAAACACCTTTTTCTGTGTGCTTTTGGTGGCTGCAGAAAGTGAAGGAGTTCCTCACCAGCAGTTCTCTTTCCTCCAAACTTCAGGCCAAACATGACCTTCTACAGGACGCCATACAGAAAGGTATGGTTACAGGACTGGTGGGGTCCTTTATTTGAACAAGAGTGACACCACTGGTGACTGTTACTACTGCAGATCTTACTCCTCTTTTATTTTATTTCCTCTTTATGTCCTAGCCGAGGCCGTTGACAGCGACCCCTCCAGGTGAGGATTATACTGAACATAAAAGCATGAAAGAGAGAGAGAGAGAGAGAGAGAGAGAGAGGGGAGGGGAGGGAAACAGGGGGCGTAGAGGGGAAGAGAAAATGACACCAGATGAAAAGGAAGTCAATTTTAGATTTTTATTTTGTCTTAGACGTAAGGGGAGAAAGGCTTGTTGACGTTGTAGAATATATTTTTGCCACTGACTCATTAGTATACTTTGCTGTATTATTTATTATTAGGGAAACTTTTTACAGTTTTGGCCACATTTTAAAGCTGTCAGTGATTTCTGCTTATATGAATAATTATTATATTTCAGTCTGACTTTTTTTTTATCGCTATGTTGTGGTCAATTTTTGGCTGATTTTTAGCTATCACTTGGCATTTCAGGCATTTGTATGCTAGCATTAAGCAACTGTTTCATCAACTTAACAACAAGGACTAACTTAAAACTATTTTTGGGATTTTTCCCCCCCATGTTTTACATGTCACTTAAATTGATCTATTTCATTTCATGATTTATTTTTTTTCATCAGTAGAATCACCATCATAATTGCACACGCAGATTGGCATAATATGTTTCATTTTTAACATTTCCCAGAATGCACTGTGCTCGATCAGTGCGTGTTCGGAAGTCCAGGCCTGTTTCCCTATTCTGCCACACACTCTTCACCTCAGACATTCTCTCCTACATACAGGTAACACAGAATAAAACACACGCGCGTGTGTTTACCTGCTGCTATTATCATTTCATTCTCTGATTGATAATTCTTTACAAGTAAATGTCATGTCGAAGATGATAATTAGTGATTGATTGATCAAATACATCTCACCCTAATGTCCAGTCGTGACATTCCCTAAATTAAAAGAAGCCTCACTCTGTCTTACACTCTACTACAGACACAAAGTCTAACCTTTGAGTCTCTTTTTTTCCTACTTGCCAATTGCCTTTAGCTTATTCATGTGTTTAATTATTGTTAACTAAGTGTGTGAGTGTGTGTTATCGTTGGTTCACATGCTGCACACTACTTGCTATTGCTTAGCTTACCTGTAGCTCTGTTCGACTTTCACTTGGCTTCTAAGCTAATATTGGGCACTCTTGGCTAATTCCTGATTCTTGATTTAATAATTATTTTTTCCTACCGTACATTTGATCATACACGCACAAATGTCACCCATAAGAAGTACAATAATGACCCAACCCCACCAACTCTATTTTTTTTTTCTATATTTACATTTTCCATCATTTGGATTGGTAACCAAATAAATCAGGTGTTAAACACATACATTAACCTGCTGTCATTGGTCATTCAGTCCCAGCATATAGAGAGGACAGTTTCATATATGTATATATATATGTATATATATACTGTATATATATCAATTAATCATGAATAATCATGATTTATCAACCACTATGCTGTCTATATTATGGTGCATTAATGTACAGGACCAGGAAGTAGTTCTGGTATGGAATCCCCTCTTGCGCCCAACTCATGTTCCATGGTTTAATTTATTTTTGCAAACAGAATTACAATAACAAACAAACATCTTGCACTGGAAAAAAGAATAAATAAAAATTTGACATCTCCCCAGAGTGTTTTTGCAGCCCACAGCCCACTGCTGCTGCCTTTCTCGTTTTTTCCCACTCCTTTTTCTGTTCACTTTCTCTTCCCTTCATTGTAAAATGGATTAGAACTGAGCGGTGGCCTCTTTTTCCTGCCTCTTCTCTCTCTCACTCTCTCTTAATTCCTTTGGTAAATATGTGTGACGTTCAGGCATCTCTCACTGCTGTGTTCATAAACCTTTTATTCACACTTGCTTCTGCTCTAATCTCCACTTTCGCTGCGCCTCAACCCTTGCTGCTGCTGCTGCTGCTGCTGCTGCTGCTGCTGCAGAAGAAGGAGGAGAATGTCTCGGACTCAGGTAAAAGTAAAAAAAAAACAGTACTGTGAGGGACTCATCACAGAGACCAGCTTAATCAGTTCGGCTCCTGGTACTAGTTACTGTAAAATAACTGGACCTAGTTCCCAGTACCGTCCCTAGTCCCTGAGCTTGTTGCTGTGAAGACAAATCCACACATTTATAAATTCATGATGTTTTTTAAATAATAGTTCCGAAATCGCAAATGCATTTAATTGAATCTGTCCCTGTAAATTAATATTGTAATATTTGAACTCACTAAAAAATCTTTATGTGCGTTCTGCTTTTGGTTTACATCTTGCTGCATCACATTTTATTAAACCTTCATGTAATCTGTCCCTGTAAATGAATATTGTAATATTTTAACTCGCTAAAAAATCTTTATGTGCGTCCTGCTTTTGGTTTACATCTTCCTGCATCACATTTTATTAAACCTTCATGAGGTTCCTTGTTTATTTTTTCTACTTCACCTTTGCATCACTGCTCTCCCCACATCGTTATCCCTCACTCCACCATGTTCTCCTCCCTCTTCCTCTCATCTTCTCTCCCTGTGTTCCCTCTCCTCCAGAGCTCTGGGCAGCAGATTCCTGTGGTGGTTGAAAGCTGCATTCGTTTCATAAACCTTCACGGTGAGTTGGTTTTTATGACGTAGCAACAAAGTCCAGCAGAGAGACCAGGTGGAGCCCTCTTGGAATAGAATAATAGGACAACAGGATAGGACAACACTGGAGGAGAGGCGGGAAATTAAAGACAGTAGGAGATAGATAAGATATCGTCAGGGGTGAACAGAACAGAACAGAACAGAATGCGACGCCTTCATTACAGAATAGCATATTGCAGCTCTTGTCAGAGGTAAATAAAGTCGTATATAAAATTAACGAGCCACAGCCGTCAATGCACGACAAATACAACACCGCCCTCTGTCGTTCATTTTAAACCTTACTAAATACGTGTTTTGAAAGTCGTTAAATCGATTGTATCAAAGTGGGTTTAAAAAAAAGACCTAGAATATGTTTAGATAAAATGTGTTTGAATGTGTAGAGTTGACAATAGTGTAAACCAATGTGTGTATTTCTAGGGCTGCACCATGAAGGAATATTCAGAGTTCCCGGGTCACAGAGAGAAGTTAACGTCATCAGAGATGCATTCGAACGAGGTACGTACCCTTTATTTTATTTTATTTTTTTGACTAATGTACAATAATAACTCCCTGTTACAGAAGCAGTTGTTATCTTTTGCAGTTATAACCTTGTTTGTATCCTTCATGTATAATAATAATATAATAATAAATATGTATAAAAATACGTACAATAACAATTATTATTATTCGACATTATTTGAAGTTAAATTTTGATTTTCTTAAATTCAAAAAGTAATTTTTGGTGTTTAACGTTTAAGCTCTTTCTTTAACTATCTTCAACCATTTACTAGCTATTTCTTGACCTTACATTAATTTACACATCATTTTGTCGCAGACTAATTGAATTCGTAAAAGTAAACCTAATACCCTAATCTTGTTTTTACCTTTAAGAATATTATGTTGAATGTGTATTGTTTTAATGAGGCAGTTGACTGTCTTTGTTCCTGTCTTATGCTCCTGCAGGAGAAGACCCTCTGTCTGACAGTGAATGTGACCTGGACTCAGTGGCTGGAGTATTGAAGCTTTACTTCAGAGGACTGGAGCCTCCACTCTTCCCCTACGACAGCTATACTCAGCTGTTGGACTGTGTCCGTAAGACAAACAACCCTGCTGAAACAAAACAGTCTCCATGTTGCTTCTATCTGTGCCTGTGTCTACATATAACTGTCT